TTTATAAAACATGGAACCACGGGTGAAGAAAGCAGTTTAATAATAGGATGAACTTTGGAGCAAAACCACCTGGGTCCAAATGGCAGCTACACCACCTAGGAGCCACGTGACAAGCCTTATCTATGAAAGGGACAAGATAACAGCACCCACCCCTTCGGGCTGAGCAGGGGACTGAGCAGTCAATACACGTTGGCTGATACCAACATATACCTGCTCCCTCAGCACAGACTCTCGTTCTGAGATTAAAGCTGAAGTGTCTTGGCTGAGAAAAAGGTCAACAAACTATAAATATATGACTAAGTACATTAGTACTGATTTTTTCAAATAAACATATTTTGGGGTTAAACATAATATTTAATCAAACGTCTTTAAAATGACATCTAAGTAACCTAGAAAATGTAAACCTAATTAACTTACCCATCAAAACAACCAGTTCAGTCGTGATTATAAGAAAACCGTTTTTGAAGTTGTCTTTTCTTGGACCTGAAATGTACTTGGAAACTAACAGTCCGTACTCTACAATGCTTCACTCTGCCAAGAGACTCCGTGGGAATTCGAACCTCCAGGACGCCTGGAGCCGTGGGCTCTCGCGCCAACTCCACGGCCACAGCGAGGGAGCTCTTTATCCTGTGATCTCTCTCGGTTCTTATGCAGTTAGAAAGTGGCATGAAAGATGGTTCTAAGAAGACTCTCCCCTCTATGCCTAAGTCATTACCTAGGAATGAGGTGGGAATTGTGGTCTATTAATTATCTCAGTCATCTTATTTTTCTGCATTAAACTGTAATAACTGTTCAGAGCCCCATGAACTATCTCGCCTTAAAGGGAACCTCTTTACAAGAAAAAAAATCCATGCTGTTGTTTAAGATGAAAACTGCTTGATGCTGCATTATGGTTGGGCTACTAAGTCATAGTTTTTAGAGCTGGAAGGGAGCATGACATTCGCGATTATCTATCCAATCGCATCATTTTAAGGACAGGTGACCTGACTGAAGCAGAGAGCACTTAAACAACTCGCCCACAGTGAAGACTGATGTTGAAAGCCCAGGCGTAAGTACAATTAGAGACGTGGTTATGCTTCAAGTCAAGCTTTATCTTCATAAATAAATTAGTAACATCCAGCCGGCCTTTCCCACATACTAAGAAAAACAATAATTTGACTCTTAATCACCTAAGGATGGCTCAGCATGACTTCTTTGATAAATAAGACTGGACCGTAGAATATTAAATACCTCTATTGGTCATTTTAATTAAAACGAGCTTTCTGTCCTGTTTCATAATTCTCTTTGACTTTGTTTTGGTTTTGTGTGTCCCCTTCTCCCTTCACTGGCCCCATATGCATACCATTTCAGAACGAGCTGTGTCGCAGTGGGCCGGGGCCAAGGTGCCCGACCCATCAAGAGGGAGACAGCTGGGCGGCCAGGGCACAGCCATGGTTTATGGAAGGAGATTTATGCAGAAAAAAAATAAATCACAGAAATAACGCATTTGTTTGTGGAAACTTTCAGGTCTTGCTTTCTGGAAAAATACATCTTGGAAAACTTGACACTGTTTCTTGTTAAAGTGGCAAAGGGACGGGAGTCAGAAGAGAGGGACATTTAGATGCCAGGCCCTCCACACGTCACTTGGGTCTCTCTTGGCTTTTGGGGGAAAGGCCGAGGAAGGGAAACTACAGATTGTACAATACGGTTCCCTCAGGTCAAACGTCCATTCAGAGGTGCAGGTCTTTAAAAGTTTATGTAGGCAACAAAGAAAACTTCAGAGAGAAAACCCAGCGTGGATGACCATGCTTTTGACTCTGCCCTGTCCAGGCCCTGAGGAGGGCCCTGTGCGTCGGACCAGGCCCATACCAGCCAGGCAGCTTGGACCAGGGAGGGAAGCCCACAGCTTGGTATGGCCTCTTCGACCTCCAGTGACTTCACCACCTGGGGACCTGGGGTGGGTCTAACACATCATTAGTGAGGCTTATGCTTTAGGGAACTACATTTTCCCAGGAGATAAGAGATATCTGTCCTTCCCTTTTAAGTCCCAGCAGCCTCTAGTGCTCAATGGAATTTCTAAGAGCTTTTGGTATCCCCACAATGAGTGTCCAATGCCATAACTGTCGTGAAAACCTCTTACTGAATCCAGGTTGACTACCTTTGCATTTGACGGGGTGGCCCATCACCCCCCCAACCCCCACGCCACTCAGCCCCACTTCCACAGCCTCTTCTCCACAGAGAAAGCCCAGCAGGGCCAGAAACGCACCGTCGTCACTGCCAACCTGCGTACCACATTCCAAAGGTGTGGTACTCTCCCTTTTGCCCTTTTTTTTAAAAAGCAAAATATATTTTAGATTTTTTGTTCCCACGCACTCAAATTCCACTTTTCTTTCACTCCAGAAATGGCTCAAACATGAAACAACAAAAACACTTTGGTCATCTGTGCCTCCCCGAGGGTAGGCCAAAGGTTCCTCATTTTGCTTTCAGAACATAGGTGCCTTCATTTAGCGGAATCTTGTCATCAGTAATTCAAACTGAACTGCACCTGTTAAAAATCAAGCAGCATTTTCTCATTAGGCTCCCTTAGTCTTCCATCATATCTGTAATCACTAATTCAGATTTGCAAAAACCTCCTTAGCAGTAATCATGATGCTGGTCCCACTGATTTTGAGACCAGGAGTTCCTGGAGGCTCAGCAACCTCTGTGCTCATTTCCAGGGCTGTCTTAAGGAAGGAAATTAGTTCACCACCAGGATTTTAACCACCCTCCTTATACTTAAGTTGTATTTAAACAAATCATTGAAACTCCATCAATTATGTTTTCAGAGAGCGTTTGGTGGTTAGAAGAATCCCAGGGGCCACACATTTTAGTGGTTTAACTCTTCCTTCTCAAGCAGCATCACCTAACAAAATCTTTGTCTATTCACTCTTAAAAAAAAAAAAAAAAAAGCCAACCTTCCAATCTCATTGGACCTGGTCTGTCTAAGGAACGAACTAAGAACAAAGAGCCCAACCCCCTCCGCCTACTGCTTCCAGCACCAGGCAGGAGTCGTGGAAGACAACTGAGTCCTTCTACCTCCACAGCTTCCAAGGCACCCACCTTCCAGCAGATGTGCCTCACATCTGTTTCACACATCAACTACCCAACACATGCTTTCAGAAATGTACTCATAGGCGTTCCCCTTTCATCCTCTGGGTTTTAGATATTAATTTTTCAATGTGAAAAGAAGTCAAAAATTTTTGAAGAAGAAAATAATCTTTTAAAGATGAGTAATTGTGTGCAGTATTTCAGGAAAGGGCTCCAGGGTACCTCACGTGGAGAGAAGGCCCATTGAAGCATGGCAGTGACAGGGGAGGGGCTCAAGTGCCATCTCAAGTGATGCTGGCGTGTTAAACACAGGAGAGGTGCACCCAGGAATGTCCTTCCCAGGATCTCACTGCTGCCCCCAGAAATCCTCTCCCATTTGGTTCTTAAGGACCTGGCATCTGAGCCAAAGCATCCTCTCTTTTACGCACGGGCATGTTTCTCAGATGGCTCCCAGCAATCCCCAGGTCTCCTGACATTCATGCCCTGGGGTAATCTCCTCCTAGTGACTTGCTTAATAACAGAAAATAGTAAAAGCGGTGGGATTGGCACTTCCATGATTAGGTTACAATAGGCTGTGACTTCTGTCTTCCTCACACTCTCTCTCTGCCTCTTCTTGTCCCCTCACCCTCAGAAAGCCAGCCGCCATGTTGTGAGCTGCCATATGAAGAGGCCCACATGGCAAGGAACGGAGGGTGGCCAACAGCCAGTGAGGACCTGAGGCCCTCAGTCCAACAACCTGCAAGGAAGTGGATCCTGACAACAACCACATGAGTGAGTCTGGAAGCAGATCCTTCCTCAGTTGACCCTTCAGATGAGACCCCAGCTGTAACTGCAACCTTAATTACAGCACTGTGAGAGACCTTGAGACACAAGGCCCAGCTAGGCCACACCTGGATTCCTAACCCACAGAAACTATGACATTATAAATGTTGTTTAAAGCCACTGCATCTTGGGGTAACTTGTTATGCAGCAGTAGGTAACAAATACATCCATTCATGTTCCAAATGCACCGAAGAATTTCACAGCAAGGTCCCTGAAGTCTTCCTCATATACTAAATTCTTAAAGTTCTCCCTTTCTGCACTAAATAATTGGGAGAGTCCATCTCTCTCTTTCTGAGACACCTTCCTTCAAACTCAGCCCAGAATCCTCTCCTGATGTCCCTTACCCTTAGTCTCCCAAAGAGCCAACAACACCTCTCCCAGCACACCCACAGGACAACACGCTTCTCTGACCTCACACATCAGCATCCTGATAGCCAGCTCTTCTGTCTGCCTTCTCTGCTGGAAGAGGGGCCTCTAGGGATGCGTTTTCCAGAGGCTAGGACGGTGCCTGCCACAGAGGGTGCTCAATCAACGTCTGCCAAATGGCTGAACAAAGGCCGGGACAGGCATTTACAGGCATCTTCAGGGAGACGGCTGTCAATTCCAACCTTCCCCGTGAGTGAAGAGTCTACATGTCACCACGGTCTGTAACGGGCTCTTCAGAATCCTTAAAGAGGCAGGACAGGGAGACTGCCTTTGTCATCTCATAAGTGTTCTCCCTTAATAAGTAATATTTCATACCCGAGTCTCTAATCCACGTCCATCCACTCTTCATACAATCCTGCTGAACCAGGGCAACTGTACTTACGCTTCTCAAATGCTGCTCCAATTCCAGTTTTACAGACTATAAAGCATATAGAAAACAGACTTTCAACTTTCGACCCTTCTGGTATTAAACTCTCCTCATATAAAGAACAATGCAAATGGGGATTGTACTTGAAAATTACATGCAAGTCCAGGATAACTTTTTTAAAACATCAAACATGGAATGATCCATTATGGTAATTACCCATTTTAAAAGAAATATTCCTTCTAGTTTCTGCTAACTTTTGACTACTTAAAAAAACGAATAAAAATTTAAGAAACGGATTATTTCAAAAGCTTAATTCTACCTTATATCCTCCGATGCGATGCTCCTGCTTAAATTCTTTCCCGTTTTTCAGCCACCTCATAGTTGGTGTTGGATTCCCCCCAGCTGGACAGCGAAACTTGACAGTATTGGCTGCGGGGACGGCATGCAGCCGTTTTTCCATCTTTTCTGTGTTGGTCCAGTATGGTGCTCCTGTTTTGGAAAACAACAGTATAATGTATACAGATGGATCGCTTCATCTCTATTATTAAACTCCTAACAGGTAAGATCATTTTATTTTATATGTGAAACATCAGTTTCAAAATCTCTGGTAATATTTGTATCGGGAAAAAATTTCTGCAGTCTAATCCAGCTGGCCTAGCAGAAGGTCCCTGGAGATGGACTGCTTGCTAGATTACGTCCATTAACAGGCAAAAAGTGTTTCAGGCACCTTCTCCCCCTGTTCTTAGCGCCAGGATATAAGTTCACGTTGAATCATGTTTTAAAATGCTACTTTATATACACAGTGACTACACAGACAATAACAACAGCTGAGTCCTCCCAAAACATACCATTTTAGATCGCCACACCTATCAAGTGACCACACATACAAACAAGTGCTCAAAGGCCATATGAACTTATCCACTGGAGCTTTACTTTAAAGAGGAATCAACGGTATAACTTATTACCCTAATAGGATAAAATATTTCAGGGAGGCATTACTAATTTCCTAGCACATTATATGACAAGCCAGCAAACCACATCACTAAACATATCTTAAATTTTAAAATGGAAAAAACTTTTCTCTCTCCATTGTCATTGCCATATTTCTACCACATGCCTAAGCGGATCACTTAAGAGGCTACCAATTAAATTTTATGGAAAGTTGTGCCCTCTATATGGCTCTCAAAGTCATAGATACTAGTGATTTTTAACCTCAAAAGAGATAAGTTTTTAAATTGCCAAGTGAAGGACATTTTATCTAAATAAGAGCCATAGCATCAATCCGGAACATGGCAGCAAATTCTTCATGCCTGATCATAATGGCTAATGACCACTATTGACTGAGTGCTGCTTATTTGCCAAACACAGCTTTAAAAACTCTTATACACTTAACACATTAACCCTGACAGCAATCCGATGAGAAAAGCACCATTATATTCCCTGCTTATAAATGGAGAAATTGAGGCACAGAGAAGTTAAGTAACCTGCCCACCACTATGAGAAGCCAGGAAGAGGCACAGCCAGAATGTGAGCCAAGGCAGTTTGGTTCCAGAGCCCACTGTGTTCACTCTGCTCCAGCCCACTGCAAGTGAGAACCAGCTTCTCCAAGGGGTGGGAATCCACACCCTCAACCACTCTGATTTATAAGACTGATGCGTGTGTGGCCTCATGTAGACATCGCCTATGTCCCACCACCTTGACACTCACACGAGCGGAAGGATCAAGAAGATGCAGCGTGTCCTGATAAGAAATCCCAGCTCCATCATTTACAGCATAGCTATAAAAGGTCCAGGACAGACAGCCTGGACCAAAGGTACCCACCCTCCTTTATTACTACCCAGAACTTTCTCTGAAATCTAGCACAGCAATTAACTTTTCGCTGGTATGTTTCTGCCTTAGCAAACAAGTAACCAAAATCCCTGTGTTCCCTTAAAAGCATCCATCCATGGGGACTAGAACATTCTAGAACATTCTACAATATTGAAATTCCAGAAGACCAATTCCTATCTCCCTATTTCTGATGAAAGTCAGACTGAGCAACAGCACTCACACTCGGCAAACCAGAAGCAAAACAGGCCTAGGCAGGGGTTTGTCTCCGACACGGATTTAGAAGTCTGCTCCTCTATACTATAGCTAGCACAGCTCGTTCCTGGGGGGTAATGATCCCCTTCACTTAACAGCCAGATGTCCACGGCAGAATTAGGAACTGGAATAACTACGTCCAAGACACCTACCCCTATTTGCCTCACTCTTGCTCTTGAAACCTGCTGTAAAAGGTGCAGCTGGGATTTCTTAACAGGATACGCTGTAGCTTCTTTATCCTTCTGCTTAGGTAAGCATCAAGGTGGTGGGATATAGGTGGTGTCTACATGATGCCAGGACAGAGCAAAGTGAGGCAAAACGGGTCAGTTGGGTACACCACAGAGAGAAAGGCCAGAGGGAGAAGGAATGTGGCTGCATTCTTCCCTCTCAATCTAGTTGCATCGGCAATGAGTAGACAACTGGTAGCCATCAGGCTTTGAATGTCAAATGCCCAGAGACACACCTCTTCTTTTGAGGGCTCACCAGGGAGTACTTGGTGCCTATTTATCCCAAGACTCCCAGGGCCTGGCATATACTGAAACAATTTCAATAATCTTTCATTTTAAAAGCTTCTACTTAGAAAAATCCATCCACGGCCACAGCCACTAAAAAAGAAACTATTAAGAGCACAAAATAAATAATGAGCTTCGTTGCTACAGAAAGAGTTTTATAAATCTGACCTAAATGAAAAGCATACCTCGTGCTGTCAGGTGTCCGTACTCATGTCATTTGTTTAAGTAAACACAATAGCCTATTCATGTGAATTAGCTAAATATTAATGCAGTAACTCTCTCAGCATCAATTATGGCTAGCTGATCCTTTGGAATGTCTTGTCTTTTTTACATAAAAGAAATCAACAGATATGTGCTTATATACCATGAGTCATGATTTTTATGTTCCCTAAAATGTCAAAAAGTAGGATTTAGCTTAAGGAAGGAGGAATGTTGCTCTGTTCCTCTCTCACTGGGCTGAGCCATCAGTGAGGCTGCAACCCAGGCAGGGATCACCCCAGACCACGTGGGCCCGCACGGTCCTAGTCTGTGGCAAGAGCACACTGGCATCCAGCACCTTAGTCTTGGCACCTAAGGAATGATTTAAGAACAAGGTTGAAAGAATTCTGCTGGAATTTCTGGCAGGTAGCCACTTCCCTGGGGTGAAATTTCAATCATCAAAACTGCACCCATAAAATCTGCTCATGCAAAACAGATGCACAGCCATGCGGCAGGGTATGGGCACCACGCTTCTCATCTAAAGTCTCAGAGATCCGAGGTGGGTGGGGCTTCGTCCAGTCTAATCAACACAGTAGAAACTGAGCACTTACCTGGCTAGCTCTTGAAACCTGAATTCACAACATTCTCTTCCTGAATAACTGTAAATCATGACTCACCAGAAAGGGTCGTGGAGCCAAGTTTTTGCGGTTCCCTGTGTGACAGTGATGGACGACCCTCAACCCCCTGCTCGACCCCACCCTGGGTGAGTGCTAACATCACACAAGACACCACCATACTTCGGTGACTTAGGCCTTCCTTTAAGATGTCAAGCTCACGAATTTTTTTAATGAGGATGCTGCTGGAGGGGAGGAATTATTTTACTATTTTACAATGGCTCTTCCTGAAATAAATTAGTTTTATGTGAAGCATGAAAACCCTGGAAAGTCTAGAAAAATAATTATACAGTCTTCCCTTGGTATCCGAAGGGAATTGGTTCCAGGACCCCCACAGATACCAAAATCCACAGTTGCTCAAAGTCCCTTGGCCAGCCCTCTGTATCCGTGGGTTCCACATCCACGGAGTCAACCAACCAGATTGTACACTGTAGAAAGAGCCGTACTGTGTTCCCTCCATCAGTGGCCTCATGTCCTCTGCAAACTCTTCATGTTTTCAATACTTCCTGCCATTTTTGCATTCTGGACATATGGAAATGCCAGCGCCCCTCAAGAACTACAACACAGCTGGCAAGAAACAAGGACCAGGCTCCTGACAAGCTCCTCTACCTAGGAAAGCCTTTCATTCCAAGGCTCCAAAGAGCATTAACAACTTTCATTTGGAGAAGAAACTCACTTACATTAATGATCTACAAAAGCGGAGATGACCATTGCACACAGTAGGTGCTCAGTGCAGATGTTCACTCAACAACTTTAAAATGAATCTGCAAGCCAAGATCACATCATGTCGCTTGAAAGAAGTGTATGGCATCCACTCTGTAAATCTTCCCTGGCATAATCTTAGAGACATGTGAGGAGTGGGTTTAAAGTCAATTAATAGAGGAGAAGTTGTGGTATAAACCTCCCATGGTATAAAAAATGAATTATACCAAATCAGGAATAAACAAGTTGACCGAGATGGCAGGTGTGGATGGCCCCTTCTGCTCCGGCATTCGGAGATCTTCTGATGGTGTATGTAGCAAAAGAACAATGCTCCGCCATTAACTAATGAGCAAGTTAAAGGAACACTAAGACCTAGCCAAAATAAATACATAAAATCCCATCATCAAGGTTAAGTATACCCACTCATTATCATTTTCTACACTGAAACAGTTATTGCACACTAGTAGTAATGCTAAGTAGGATTTTAATTTAATACAGCAGAAGTCTCTTAAGATGTGGCTGGTTAAACAGATTTATAACCCCACAGAGACCTCCCTCAAAGTTCCCTCAACATAGCCTTTCTTTACCAACTCCATCCCACAGCGAAGATTCACCACTCATTCTCTGGGTCACCTCTCTGTTATTTATGTGTGTTTCCATCACCACAGTGTTTCTGTCCTGAAATATATTCCTTTCGATGTCTGATGACCAACAAGAGTTCAAGACCCGGAGGGTACAGCTTGAGCTGGCTTCCGACTACAGAGTAGGTACTCAATTGGATGGATGGATGGACAGGCCAGAGGAACAATCGATAAAAGCTTGAGCTATAAAATGAGGGCGTTAACCTGAATGTTCTGATAAAGTCCCTCCCAGTCCTAACATTCTTTCCAGGTACCTATATGCTAGGCAGATATTGATTCCGTCAATAAATGGTAGGATTAGAGGATTTATTTTGACCCTGCAATTTAAACTTAATGAGAAAACATAGGCTGTTGAGCCTGCCCCAGCAGAAACACTTGCATATCCCAATACTGACATCTAAGGTTTATGGTCTCCTCTCTCTCTGAAACCAAAAAGAGAATACAGCCTGGTGGTTTAAAGGAAAAACATGGCATCATATTACCACTGTACCAAAAGGGACCTCAGTGACCATCTGGCCCAACGGCTGATGTGATCAATGTCATCCAGAAAGGTTAAGTGATTTGATCAAGGTCACACGGCCAGAGGCCGGGCTGAGGCTAGACTCAAGTCTCCAGCTCCCTGAGCAGTGCTCTCTCAACCGCTCCAGGCTGCCCTTTGAACTCTCCCATGGTAATTAAGT